TGGGAAACTCGAAGGGGCACGGGGACACACAGTGACAGCGGGTACGAGAACAATAACAAGCCGCAGGGATTTACAAAAGGAAAGAGCAAAAAAGGGTGAGGCTCCGGCATGACTCCCAAAAGTAAAAATTAAAAATTTAGTAAAATTTGGTTCGGCAGGGCTTTTTTTCATGTGCCGAGCAACACAAGAGGACAGTGTGGTTGTGTGTACACACATTGCCCGCACCAAGAAGAAAATCAAACTAAAACAAAAGAAAGGTTGTACTGTCCCACCAGCCCACACAACATCCCTCACATTTCATGCGGCATCCGGCCTGTTACCCCAAACCTCCTTTCGTGCATTCCGTGAAACGCACGGCCGCAGCACCGGCACCGCGTGTGGGCAAAAAAAAACAAAGAGAAGAAACACGTCCCTCATGGCGGTGTGCAGCAACTGAAAATTACGTAAATAAAAAACAACAGTACTTATTACTCCAGCTAAACTGCATTAAAAAGAACTTTACAAAGTAAAACATTGAAAAAAACAGGCAGTAAAAGCAGAGGCAATGCGGCGTGCATTCTCCTTGAGGAGTCGCCAATCCACACTCTGTGGCTCAGAAGACTGCCACGACACAAATAAAATCCCAGAGGAAGCAGCGGCACACAAGACACGCACGCACGCACGGTGTTTTTACCGCTTAAATCACGCAGTATCAATTTCACGTCGTTGGGAGAAGCGAGGCGGTCGTCGGGACTCACGCCGCTCCACACCCTGCGAGGTGACTTTTTGTAGTGGGGATTCGTTTCCAAGGCGTAGTGCCCATTCATTTCTCTTCGGTAATATCCTCAGCAATGTGCTCTCTGACGCTGTCAACTACTCGATTCTTCTCGGGTGGTGTCGGAGCCGCTTCTCTCGTCGGAACGAGGACCCTGTCCTTGGGTGCACGCATCGCAGTGAAGTTCATTGGGCGGTTGTACAGAAAGACGTCCGTCACCGTCACATGAGATTCGTGCCCACCGCACGCGCCAAAGCAAAACCTCAGGACATCAGGTGGCCTCTCGCCTGCTAACTGCACCTCTTCCTCCCCCAGCAAATGACCACCAATGTGCACAGAGGCCTTGTTGCCTTGCAGCATGAGTGCCACTAGGTGTTCTTCCTTCGTCTCCCAAGTGCTGCTCCGTGTTGTTGTCTTGCCTTCGCACACCGTCTCCCACTTCTTCTTGTGGCTGCACGACAGTCCCACGGTGTGATTGGACTCAGTGTCCACCAGCACCTCAGTCAGTGGAGGAGTGTTCCCACTTGGAGTCACTTCGATGGTCACCGACGCCACAAGTGTGAAGTCGTGGCTCAAAGATACATGAAGTACTTTATCGTCACGAGTGTTCACAGGCTATATTGCCCTGGACTCAAGTCCCGTCACTTGTAACCCATCGTTGTCCTTCACTGCGTTCCTCATCGTTACATGTAGGCAAAGGTACTCGTCGTTCCACGTGTCATCACTGGCCGCATCGGACAAAACTGCCACCACACCTGCCGTGGGGATAGAAAAGCTGAAAAAGAAAATGTCCTTTTGCGTCCAATTACTGAGGACGGACCTGACTGCACTCAGTTCCTCCGCCGGGCGGGAAAGCGAAATGGCACTGCATTCACCGTTGCCCCTCCGTTGTAAAAGATGCAAATTGCCATCCGAGTGCAGCAGGGTGCTGGCGAGCCTCCAATCCGCAGCATTGTCCATGGCAACCGGTCCAACAGAAAACGTGCGGTTGCTGTCCGTGACCCAAAGGCAGAGCGCAGTGGCCCTTTGCTTCCCCGAGGCGTGCCCTCTCTGAGTGCACAGCATGACCTTCCTTTCCTCAATGATCGCGGTGATGAGGGCATCCACATGCAGGCTTTCCTTCTGAGGGACTCCTGATCGTGCGTTGACACACACGGCTGAGAGTGTCCCGATGGCCTCCGTCCACGTTGTCCCCATGTCACGCGACTCCTACACCCTCTCGCCATTCTCGCAGTCAACAATCATGAGAAGTGATCCCTCCCACTCGGTGACGCGGGGGTTAAGGCATTCCGCAGAGGACATGCCCACTGCGAGCGCCCAGGTACTGCCGTTGTCCGTCGAGTAAATGATCGTGGAGCAAACGTCTTCTGCTTCATCCACTGCCATCAGAGAAAACACAAGCGTGCCATCCTCCACCACAACACCTGCGCCACCAGAAGCAATGAACTCCGTCCAGTCACCTTCATGAGAAGCAGAAGAGATCAGTTTCGAGAGTGGTTTGGGGTCGCCCCATTCGATCCGTCCACTCCGCTTGCCACCCGTGGGATTCGCGACATCGCCCACGAACAGTTTCAGCTCCAAGCCGCCCTCTCTCCAACACCCACCTTCGTAGGACACATCAGAGCCTCCCGCAGGAGGAAACGCTCTCTGGCCCTACGTGATTGTTGTGGGGCGGAGCACAACACCCAAACTCTCCTCTCCCTCCGCTGCACCAGGTACAGTGTGTGCCATCCATGTATCCTTTTATTGACCTCACCAACAACAGCGGACCAATTCCACGCAGAGTCTATGTACCCCGCAACCACATCAGAAGAAAAGGGCTTAGTTAATTGAGCTCCTTGATATTCGGCATACATGTGACCCTCGGCGAAAGCAGCAATTACTCCACCAGCACTGACGAGAGAGGGTGAAGCAAATGAATCCCTCGTCGTAACTGGAACAATCCCATCTTTTAGTTGCACCAGCGTTGTCCGCAGCACAAATAGATCGACTCCCCGCGGCAACTCAACATTTATTGAACCACTCATCGCATCATCAATGGAATTCCCCTTCGGCTCGGTGACAGGCGTGGGCCTTCTTTCGGGTGGTGTCGGAGTCACATTGATATTTTAAACGCAAGCAAACTCAGGCCTCGTCCCGGACGTGTTGGTCGCCGTGTTGGATGCGGGACTCGGATCGACGGTGTTGGGTCCGTCAGCCGCCGCAGACTGTCACCAATCCTCGTGTTGACGTGACGGCTCAGCATTAACTTGCGGCGCAGTTGTCCCACCAGATTTCGTGTCATCCTTCCCTCCACGGGGTGGCGGCAACTGACAGATACCCGTCCGGTCAGCATCGCTGCTCCGTGCAGGCGAATGGATGGTTACATCGGGGAAATTGACGCCACCACAATTCATAAGGGCCAGCGTATTTATGTGTCGTCACATTCATCGTGAAGGCAGCGGTGGCCCCTTCCTCCTTCGTTGCACAGCTGGCAGCACAGTTGCTACATGTGTGCACCGCATTGGCACATGGCACACAGCACCCAGCTCACCATCTCTGCCATGCATTCGCACACCAAAGCCACTGAAAGTATAATTCTCATGCTGAGCCTCAGCACTGGCAGCAGAACACTTCTTCCACACACACTCGACAGCTCAGGCTGCCGTCACTCGGAGCACACTACACATCCATCGGCACAACCACCGCATCCGCATCACCAGATACATCTTCACGACACCCAGCAGCAGCACGCACACGGAGCAAGCACCCACCACAACAGCCACACGCAGCTGCCAGCATGCACTGCAGAAGAAGCATTCAAATCCACTGCAATGTGCATCTTGTGTGTGTGCCTGCAGAAACACAAAGCAAAGAAGTAAAGAAAAGAGGAAGCAGAGTATGTGGAGGGACGCACAACAAAAAAACAGTACAGCAGAGACGCATGGCGAAAGCAACAAAGAGAAGACCGCTCAAACTCATGACTGCACTGCAGCCCAAGCAGCGGCAATTCACAAAAGATTTATCCAAAACAAAAAAGCTTTCCCCCTCGTCTTATATAAAACCCCATCACACAAAATAATTATAAATAAAAAGAAATCGTTTATTACTGTTCCACACAAATAACATTTAAACAAATGCTTACCGTGTGGCCACACCAAACTGTCTGCATATATTTTGCCCAAAAAAGAAAATTAAAAGGTATTTAAATGTCTTTCAACCGTCCGACCCTCCATGTGTCCGCACATCGTTTATATTTCATGCGGTCATCTGCGTGTTGCTGCTCCCCTCAGCTCTCTCATCGGCGTGTGAGTGCGGCCCGCAGAGCGCAGTCACTCGTGTGGAGGGACTGAGAGAATCACGCAGAAATGACGGGAGTCGCGTCACTCCATCAGAAGAGTGAGCGCAGCAAAAGAAAAATCATCAGGAGGGAAAGAAATGCTGACGGGACTGCCAGCGCGTGAAATGCACACGCAAAGCAAAAAATCTTAAAAACACGGCGGCAGGGTGTGGCTGTGTGTGTGGCGCTGCGGGTGTCTGCCCGCCCTGGCCGCAAACAAAACAAAACAGGAGGGAAAGAAATGTGTGCTCCGCCCCCACAGGCCCTCGTCGCACGCCCACACGTCACGGCTCCCTCAGCGCGCCGTTCGTCGCGGCCCCTCCTCATGCGTGCAGCAGGCGAGGCGCACATGGCCGTCGTCGTGAGCGTGTCGGTGGGTGTGCGAGTGGAGCAGTTGGGCGGAAACACACGGCACACCTCACACGAAGAGTGCAGCAACAAACAATTAAAGAGGGAAGAGTAGAAAAGAAAAAACGTCCATAGTGATTGCCCCAAAAGCAAAGAAAAAGTAATGAAGGAAATGAGAGAAAAGCACTATAAAATGTAAAAACAAACACAAAAAGCAAAAAAAAAAAAGAAATTAAAAAAAAAATCACACAACCAGAAAAAACAAAAAACAAAAAATATTTTAAAGCAAACAGCAAAAAAAAATTAAAAACACTTAAAACAATCATAAGAGAACAACAAAACAGAAACAGTTACGGTGCTCCGCCCATGCAGCCAGGCAGGACGGCAGCGGTGCGTGTCGTGCAAAAGAGAGCACCAACGGGCCTGCATGGGTGTGCATGCATATATACAATGGGCACATTATTGTGTGTGCTTCGTGGGGTGAGGTGAGGGCGAGAGTCCATGCAAGGGGACACACACACACAGAGAGAGAAGGAAGAGTGTGTGTGCGGGCGGTGCATGGCTCTCTCACACTCACTCTCACGCGGCCACCACCGCAGCACACGCAACAACAAGAAGAAGCAAAAGAGGGGAGGTGGTGTGGGATGCATCCGTGTTTTGACTGTAGTTCTTCTCATTTACTGAATTTGTCATTGGTAGTTGAGTTTTTATCCCATGCGTTGTTGTGTTGGATACTTTCGAGAGTGTTTTTCCACTGTGTTGAGATTCTGTATTTTGGTCCCCTGATGATTTTTTTGTCTCGTTCGTTTGTGAATGGTCATTTTTCTGTTGTTCTTCCAAAGAGTCTTGGAGTTCATCTCCCGCGGCGTCGTGGCCAAGACTGTGACCCCCTGCTGAGACAGAATTGTTTCTTTGCTTTTCATTGTTGGATGACACCGTTGGCTGTCCTTCGGGCGAAGAGGTGCCCTGACTCCCTGTTTCCTTTTGTGCCAAAACTTCCTCTGGGGATGCAATCTGCTCATCGGATGAAACACTGACCGGGGTTGTTTTTCCATTACCACCTTGACTTGAGGAAGTAACGACAGAGCGAGAGTCCGGAAGTTCACTTCCACCACCAACAGAATGACCAGCACCGGGAACGGCAGGAACAAGACCGGAAAAAGCAGGATCGGGACCAGCAGGACCATGACCGGGTATAGCAGCACCATGACCGGGACCAACAGGACCATGACCGGCAGGACCAGGAATAGCAGCACGAAGACCGGGACCAGCAGGGCCAGGAGTAGCAGCACCAAGACCGGAAAAGGCAGGAACAAGATCAGTAACATCAGTACTGGAAAAAGGAGCACCAGGAATAGCACCAGGACCACGAACAGGACGAGGGACAGGAATAGCAGGAACATCATCGGGACCAGCAGGACCATGACCGGGAATAGCAGCTCCAAGACCGGGACCATGACCAGCACGAACAGGAACAGCAACATCAGGAATAGCACCAGGACCACGAACGGAACCAGGGACAGGAATAGCAGGACCAGAAACATGTGGAACAGTACCAAAACCCGTGGCTCCACTCAAATGTGAATCAGTAACTCCTGCAGAAGAAACTTCTTCATGAGCTTCGGCTTGTATAGCAGAGATAAAAGATGCTGACAGCAAAAGCGGTGTGGATAAGTTTTTAATAGATCCGTTTGACAAAAACGACTTATTCCTTCCAAACCCTCTCGACGCCATGAAGCCGCCCAGTGAATTGTTGTCAGGGTTCCTCGCATAAACCCCGCCGGCACCGCACCACAGCACGCAGAGGGCACACACCAGCAGCACACGGCCAGTCATCATCATCGCCATCACTCCTATCACTTGCGTGCAACCTTCAGCACAAATTAACTCCCCGTCAACGCAGAGTGAAAGGAAAAAGAAAGAAAAATCACACAACCACTCACAGCCAAAGTAACAACGGCAGCAGCCCTGCAGAAGCACGCACACTGACCTGCAAATCAAAAGTAAAAAAGCAATACCAAAACAAAAAAAAAAGTAGTTGAGTGCCCAAAAGGAGTCTCCTCCTCCAAAAAAAAATACACTTCAGCAGAATCATCATTTCATACGCCATGCAGCAAAGCAGGACTGTGTTTATATATACATGCGTACAGTACCTGCACAAGGAAAAAAATATTACTGTTCCACAAGCCCACACAACATCCCACACATTTCATGCGGCACCCGGCCTGTTACCCCAATCCTCCTTTCGTGCAGTCGTGGGACGCACAGCCGTGGGGCCTGTACCGCGTGTGGGCAACAGAAGCAATCAAGAGGGAAAACAATTCGCTCATGACGGTGCGCAGCAACTGACCATTAAGTAAAAAAAAAGAAAAAGGCACTCCCATTGTTCCATGTAAACAACATTAAAAAGAACACCAAAAAAAAAAAAGCCCGCAGGGAACGCAGCACATATTCTCTGTGAGAAGTCGCAAACCAACACTCCGTGGCTCAGAACACTGCCACAACCACACACAGTCCCAAAAGCAGAAGCAGCAGTGGTGCTTCCACACACGAGGTGATAATTTCGCTGCTTTCCACCGTCGGCAGGGACATGTCGCCTTCAAAAAAGATTCCTCTGTTCGCTTAGATCCTCTTTTTGTTTAAAGAAGATGTGGTCTGTGTGGCGCTGCTGCACGCACTGCTGTTTGTGGGCTTCATAGCGGCGGGGGTGGGTGCTCAATGACCGTGGATACAGTCCCATCGCCCGTACACATCGGTTGTATTGGGCGTCGTGAGGTCAGCAGTTTTTTTTTTCTACTCTTACCAGAGCGTCTAGCTATACAATGCCATATGAGTGCCGAAGAGGTGGTCGAGCAACGACAAAAATTTCCTGCTACGAAGCAACTGCCATTGAGAGAACTTTCCGGTGCGGAGTTCCTGTTCAATGCCCAGCCGTTGGCGCACAGCCAAGGTGCCTGGACATTCTAGAAGCAGATGGTGCAAGGTTTCCTGCGGGCCGATTGGCGTGCTTGTGGAAGCTGGCTGATCCTGCGGCAGCAGAGATCGCCGCCTGGCACTGCTGTTTCGATGCCGTGTGGCGTCTGGGTTGTGTGCGCAGCGACTTCTGTGCTGTGCGGTGCTTCTCCGTGTGGGGAAAACCATGTCACAGAAATCACATTTGAGCTCGGGAAGCGGTGGAGGATGTTCCGGATGAAATAACCGACAGTGACTGACGAGACCCGAGAATCCCGTCAATGTGGAATCACAGTGCGGACATTTCTCCTTCCGACGGCGTGTGAGGGTCCGTCTCCTTACTGGAGAGACGTCTTCCTCCCTCGCCGACGGGGGAACAGTGTCCGTCCCCGGTGCAGTTGGATCGTTGTTGGAGCGCATATATGCAGACTGTTCCGGTGAGACGTTGCAGAATCGGCATTGGTTCGTGCAATCTCTCACAGCCCAGTATAGTCGGCCCCAGAGCTCAGATTCCCCGCACCTTGCCCTTGCGAGGTGAACCAGTTCCTGACGGTGTAGAACTTCCTGAGTGATCAGGTCCTTACCGCTGAGATCGGATGGCCTTGTGCCGCAAAGCAAGTAGCGATGAGTGTCTTGACGAATGGTACCACGCCACTTGTTGGTGAGCTGGGTAGTAAAACATGTCGGCAGATCCGTATGCCATAAAGGTGCGATTCCTTGCTCCGTGTATTGTCCACTTTCCATAGTCTGCGTCGCATACTGATCTGCAAGCTCGTTAGCATGTACTCCGCAATGTCCGTAACAAAACTGCAGGTGCACGGACCAGCCAGCACGCGTCAGTGTCAAGAGACGCTGCCAGATCTGATCCTACGTCCAGTCTGTCTGACTGAGCGGGCCCTTGTTTAGAGCCGCTAGAAGAGACTGACTGTCCGTAACCACAAGCAGGGTTTTACGCCTGTGGCGGATACGAGGAATCATCAGCTTCTCTAGGGCTAGAAGCAGTGCGCGGGATTCTGTCCTGTAGCTGCATGGGCGTGCACCGCAGTTTATGCTGGCCTTCTCTATTATCTCCGATGAGTTGAGGGATGAAAGCAGTATTCCAACCCCTGCTGACTTGCGAACGTCGACACCGCCATCGGCCGCAAGTATCCACGAACGATGGCTGTGCAACGCCAGAGCCTCTTCGCTGACTCTGCGCTTTTCCCTTATCAGCTCTTCTTCGTCCGTTATTGAGTGGTCTATCGGAAGTCCCACACCAATGGTGACCCGGTGAGCGGAGGCCGCAAACCAGGGAGGAATGGAGCTGCGAAAGAACCGCTCTTCGCGTGGTGAGCTCTCGGTGATGCCATAGTCCTTTGTGTATGCGTCTACGAAGGCATATAGCTCGTCCCGAGATAATGGCGGGATGCGGAAACCGGCGCGAGGCGGTGGCTCAGGCGGGGGTCTCCGCATCCAGTCCATCTGACATGCGCGTGTGTTCTCAAATATTGAGAGCCGCGCGCGCAGGCAAAGGACGTGGAGCGGCGGCATATTAGCCTCCAGCAGTGCGGATTCCGGGTCGACAGTGCTCGGAACTCCGCTGACAATGCGTGCTAGAGTTGCGTACGTCTTTTGCATCTCATTCTTCGCTGAATCCGTCGCTACTGCCCATATGAGCTCGCTGCCATAGCGTAATTTGGAAGCACCGTATCCAATGACGAACGTGCGTAGGTCATGTGGAGATGGTCCCGCCTCTTTGTGCGCTATGCAGCGTAGCTGCGATATCCGTTGCGAAGTGGCAGCGCATTGCTTGGAGGCCGCCACATTTAGCGTTAGTCGTGGAACGAGATCCATGCCGAGAAGCTTCGTAGTTCGCGATACCCCTATGGCCATGACTGGGATTTGACATCCAGCCACTACCAGGGGCCACCTTCCTTCACGATCATAATCTGACTCCGTGTGCGTGGAGAGTGTGAACCAAGCGGCTTCACACTTTGCCGGGTTGATGGCCAGGCCATTTTCCTGACTCCACGCATGCAGCTTTTTAAGAACCATGTTGGCAGTGGGAATGGCGTCTTCCCGGGACTGCCCCTTAACGATAATAGAGAGGTCGTCCGCATACATGTCTGCTGTGACACCCGCAAAGCTGTTCAGCAGATTGAGAAGTGGGTGTACGTAAAGGGAGAACAAATACGGTCCCAGTACGGACCCCTGAGGAACTCCTCGCAGCATGGGACGCCGATCGCTGTGTCTGTGGCCAACTCGTGTCTTCGCGTAGCGACCACATAGAAAGTTTCTAAGCCATCTTCTACAATTCACCCCCGGAATATTAGCCAGCAAGCGACTGAGGACTCGATGATCTATGGAGTCAAAAGCCTTGCTGAAATCAACCAACACCAGCAGAGTCCGATGGGGTCTGTAGTGGAGTTGATTGCCAATACCGCTCTTCTTGGGAAGGCTCACTTGGAAATAGTGATTTCTATTATGCTCCACTTCGTGTATCAGGTGTGCCAGCTGCATCGTCGTAGTACGCATACTACGATATGCATACTGGTGGGGGTGCGGCGTCCACACCCAAAGCAATCTCTTCAGTACCATTTTCTCAGCAACCTTACTCACAATGGAGGTAAGGCTGATGGGTCGATATGACTCAAGCAGTTCCGGTGACTTACCGGGTTTTAAGAGTGGAACGATGGTAGCGCGTCTCCACTCAGCCGGAATCGTACCGGTCGTCCAGCTGTGGTTAATGCGGCGAAGAAGGAATCGGAGGCCCTTTGACGAAATATGTCGCAGTGCCTCACTGTAGACTTCATCTGGTCCGGGGCCTTGCCATACGGCGTATTACGTAGCGCAGCAAGCAGTTCCGTACGATTAAAAGGTGCATCAAGATGGGAGTGAAGATGAGCAGCTAAACCAGATGTGGTGGCAGCTTCGTTTTTATCCTGTGGCTCAGAACTAGATGAGAGCGAAGAACCTGAAGTAAATGTGGCGGCAGACTCGTTGTTGTTCTGCGGCTCAGAAATACAAGAAGAACCAACGTTCAAAGATGCACTCTGTCTGTTGATGCCTTTGGAAGGCCTTACTGCCTTGTGAGAGGGTGAAATGGAAAAAAGATGCGATTGAGAGCATTCGCTGCTCTCCTTGCTGTTTTATAAGTGTGTTGACCATCTCCTAATAAAATTGATGTGAGAGATGGAAGTGATGCCTTTTTTCGTCCGGAAATGTATTTCCATGCGAGTGGCTCGCCTGGATTTAACTTGCTGATGCGGCGTAGATACGTGTTGCGCAAGCGCTCTCGGAGCAGGAGGAAGAATTGACTCCTTGTCCGTTGCATTTCTGCCTCACGGTCGGGCGTCGGTAACTGTAGATAGCGGGCCTTGCTGTCCGTAGCAATCCGCTCTGCCTCCATGAGAGTGTCGTCCCAAAGCCTGGGACCGTCCTTGTGCATGCCGCGGGGGCAATGTCGTCGATACGAAGTTATAAGCGCTCTCGTGAAAGCCCTAATGCCGGTGGACTGCTTTTTATAGTCGTATGCCGGAAGTTGTGCGTCGAAGTCCTTGACGAATAAATCCCATTTGGACTTCCCCCAACTGTGGAATATCCTAGGAGCCGAAGGGGGTGCCGAAGGTGTGGTATCCTTAAATGCCTGATGCAGCGTGAATGTCAGCATATAATGATAACTAAGCGGCGACACAGAGGCTGACCAATCTGACACAGTCAAATGCTTTGACCATGTCAGATCGATACAGGATCGTTCTCTTGTGCCACGGGCATACGTGATCTCACCAGGGGTGTTAACCAAGGTGAGTCCCGCATCCGTGAACAGTTCTAAAAATTCTGCAGCAACCTCGCTTGGAGAAGTCTCCAAGAATGGCTCCCACTGTGGGTGATGCATGTTGAAATCCCCGCACAGCAGG